AAGAAAGAAAGAAAGAAAGAAAGAAAGAAAGAAAGAAAGAAAGAAAGAAAGAAAGAAAGAAAGAAAGAAAGAATTTTAAGTCCCTTAACTTAATAATCTCTAAAAAGAAGTGTGTTGTGGTTGAATATTGAAAAACAATAACTGGTACTTGTGTTAAGTATGAAAAGTCATATGTGAGACTATCAAGGAAATTAGCACTGACTGGATATAACCCCTACTAAAGAACTGATGTAAACATTTCAAAACACAGTCATGGCATTGTGCTTTATGTTAAGAATTCATATATCAGAAATATATTTGAATATTCATTAATGAAAGAAAGTACTTAAAATTTACTTTAATATTATAATCATTATTACTTTGTGATGTTGACAATCAAACCCATGGCCTTTGGAATGCTGGGAAAGTGCTCCACAACTGAGCTACACTAGCCTTGAGTCTTATTTTAAAATAACCTATTATGGTAATACAGTATAAGATGAGGAAAGAAAGGCAAAGATGAAGTAGAACTCAGCACAGGTTAATAGTTATTGGAACTGACTGTTGGAAGGGTCAAGGTTTATTATGCCAGTCTTTCTAGTTCACATATGTTAAAATTTTCCATGATGAAAAAAGAGAGAGAATAGGAGAGAGCAGAAGAAACAAGAAGAGGATGAGAAAGATGTCTTGGGAATTGGCTGCTCCTTAGTTCAAGGCCTTGTTGACAGTGTTAAGAATGAGAAGTATGTGTTAAGGATACAGATCATTAAACATGCCCTGGCATATAATCAGGGCTCGGTAAAATGCCTAATTGTTATGTGGCTGACAGGAATGATAGGCATTCCTATTGGTTGTTGGAAATTATGTATCTGGCCAACAGTTTCTAAGCAACATGCTCACCAGTTCTATCCAATTCAACAAACAAATATGAGCCTTTGGAAACAACCAGGTGGATGGGACACACTTAATCCTCAAGATGCTCTGAAGCTGCATGGCAGATAAGGGGCCAACCAATTAACCATAACACAAAACCATAGCAGCGAGCCAGGAAACAATGGCTAGCAAATTATAATGTCAAAACTTTCCCAGAGCCGTCTCTGTAACAGCAGCTTTGCCATTGATCAAGCTGAAAAACACTGTTTTAAAGAAAAAGAAAGTAACAAGTGTCAGAGAAATTAAAGAGAAATGACAACTCAAATCGACTGGTGATGGGCAAATGTACCTTTGTTTTCTGGAGAAAAAAAAAAGCAGCTAAACACATGCAACTCCTCATGCCCAATAATTACAAACTAGTAAGTTCTTGTATGGAAATAATGCAGGATACACACACACACACACACACACACAAATTATCCACAAAGGTCTCTGTGTGACATAAGTGATAAAACATTAAAAGTTACTTAAACAGGGAGCTGGGAAGATGGCTCCATGGGTAAGAGCACTTGCTACACAGTCATGAGAGCCTGGGTTCTGGCTGGTCAAGACCCAGGCTGGCAGCTCAACTCCAAGTTCACTCAGAAAGGAGACGTTGCACGATAGAGTTAGATATCTGCATCTTTTCCTGGCTTCTGTGAGGTTGTACCCACACGTGCACACACACACACACACACACACACACACACACACACACGCAGAAAGTTACCTAAGTGTCTGGCCATACGGAATTAATTATACACATTTGACCCACCTTTATGCAATAAAATGCTGATCAATCGTGAAAATGGCGTCAAAAATTTAATAGCACATATCATCGGTATATTTCCAAGTAAGAAAACAGAATGTGGGAGATGATTAAGTGTGGTGGTGGTGGTGTGTGTGTATCTGTGTGTCTGTGTGCATGTAAAGTATATTTCTTCATTTATATAAACATCTAAAAGGTAGATAAATGGGAAATTAATCCAGCTCGTTGGAAACCTTTTTAAAAAATTTTACCTTTCTTTTTCAATTGTGCTACGAGCACATTTTGTTTGTTGCAACAGGAGAAAAAAAAATGACTGAATCTTTTTTAAAAAAATCAAAATTTGGCTACCACACTTCCGTTATTTACACTTCTAGCATCTGCTCTTCCCTCCCTACCTCGAACAATCAGAAAAAAAATCACTTGCTGTGGTTTCCTCAAGCACAGGGATTCTAGGCTACTCATCTTTGTAGTCTCTGTACCTAACACAAAATATGACACATACAGAGTTAGTAAATAAACAGTCTATTTTTTCAAAGGGTTTTCAGATCCAAAAACCTCAGCAGCAAATCCTGCTGGGAAAGAATAAACACACTTAACTCATTTCTAAAATCCAATTCAAGATTGGGTGTTCCCCCCTGGGGAAAAATGTGGAGGCCTTAACTCTATAGTTCATGTATTCTAATAGCTCAAAAAGAAAGAGAGAGAGAGGAGAGAGACAGGGAAGAAGACTAATGAAAAGATGGACTGAGGAGATGGCTAAGTTAGTGAAGAGCCAGCCACACAAGCATGAGGACCTGAGTTCAAATCCTCTGGCACCCATGTAAAAAGTCAGCATGGTGATGTGCATTTGAAACTCTGGGTGCTGAGGGAGAGGAAAGAAACAGGTGTCCATAGAGCTTGCTTGCCAGCCAGTCTAGCCAATTCGTGAGCTCTAGCTGTCTCAAAACATAAGATGGAGAGTAACAGAGAAGGAAGTCCAACTTCAACTTCTGGCTTCCGAAATCATGTCCACTCAGATATGCACACACACACACACACACACACACACACACACACACACACGTATGTACACACATGTAATTATTGTAAAGAAGAAAAGGGAGGGAAGGAGGGGGAAAGGAAGCAGGAAGGAAGGAAAGAAGGAAGAATACTTACAATACTTTACTTTAGAAAAAACCTAGCTGCCTTTATTCCTAGTATTGCTTATAATTTAACATGTTACTCTCCTCTTCTGTCTCATGGAGGGAACACTGATTCCACTGAAACTGCCCAATTAGTCAAACATGCCAGGCTCAGGCCCACAGCCAGGCTCCTTCTGTTAATCCCCACTCCACATTCTGGCATCCGTTCACAAAAGGAGGCCACCAGCCTCAGAGGTAGAGACAGGGACAAGAAAGAAGGCCTCTTCAGGCAAACCGGCATCCACTTCAAGAAGAGCCTGATAAACAACATACACTCTCCCTGCCATCCAAACCATCTTCGGCTAATAATTGGTGAACATAAACCCAGCAGAACAGGAAGCATGTCCTTGGCCCAACCAGATTCTAATAATTGAGCAAAGGCAGTTTCTCTCAAATCAACTTATTCCCTGCATCTTTGTAACAGAAGACGATAACCTTTTCTCCCAGTACCTGGCTGGAACGAAGGAACAGGAGACCTTAAAGACCACAGATTTAACTACTGGGGTCATCACAGGGCTTTGAGTTTATGATTTGTAAGAAGAAACTGAAAAATCAGTGAAACAAAGCCAGTTACCAAATACTACAGGCTACTTTACAAAGAACACCTTTGTTCCACCCATTAATCAACAAATATTCATTAAACACTTTTGTACTTGGTACTGATGCTCAGAGATATTACGTCTAACCTCACAGATCTCATTTTCAAGGTGCTGTACAGTTAGCATGGTGAGAGACAACATGAGAGAAAGTCCAAAAGGGAGTCAACTCTCCCTGGGGACACGGGTTTCTTTTATGTCGAAGCTGAGTTTATGATGAGTTTTTAATGCAGAATAAGTGATGTTTAAAGTGTCAACTACTTGCTTAAAAATGTGTAAGCAAAATAATCACTGTGTTTTATCTGTTGCAGCAGTAGTTAGCATCTGTGTGGTCAGAACAAGGCAAATATTGATGACTTTGTTAAAAAGCTGTCAAGCTGTCATAGTATTAGAGACAATAATCAGCCACCATTCACTATCTGGGACACGTGATAGCGATTATTCAGGTCCTTACACTTTAAGTATCTGCTGTAAAGATAGACGTTAGTGGCAAGTGAAATGTGATCTTGAAAAAAAAAAAACTAAAAATCATACGAAAATAAGAGCTTAAATATATGCTACACAAGACATTGTTTAAGGAAATTCAAGTTCTAGCTTAAAGAAAAAGCATCCTAAGCATTTTACACTGATCACACTCTTGACATCTAGAGCTGGAGACATCGTTGCTGTGGGAGGTTGGGCATTGCAGGGTGATTAATTGGCCTTGGCCTCTGCCTTCCACTTGTCAATAGTATCCAGTGTCCCTCTGCTCACCACACCTGAACTGTCACTATGAAAAGTGTCTATACATCGCCAAATGTTCCTAGGGTCAGGGAAACTACTCCAGTGATCACAACTGGCTTCACTCCAACCCATTTTACATATTTTCATCTGGAGTGCAGCTTGCACCTTTACCCCCTT